GATGAATCTGATGGTTTGAGTCGTGTATCGACCGATTTTCTCCCGTATTTTCTCCAACTGTACTGGCGTCGCAAAATAGTAGCCTACATGTTTCCAGTTGTTTAGATGGACCTACAGAAATCATTCTATATATAAATATTTATGTACAATTCACAAAAAGGTGCCATTTTAAGCAACACTTCCTTCTGAATGCAGCCATCCTTCTCCTCTGAGAAATTGATGTTATTCAGTTTTAAAAATTGAATTATGAATTATGCATATGCCATACTGTCAGACCATTAACACTGTGGCTGTCGTACACTTTGTGTCAACTGTGTCAACCCTGTTTGATTATATTTAAAATATTTTATCATATTTAATTACTTTTTTAAAGAAGAAAAAAAAGAAAAAACAATAACAAAGAGGGCATATTTTTTATTAGAAAATAATTTTTATTGATGGTAATATTTTGTCTTTCCTTGTCATCAAATCCATGTACACGAGATTAGCTTCGAGGCCCATCATCAGCAGACGTCTAGAACTCTCAAAAGACCATCTTTAGCAGAGCTACTGATCTTAATACTATGTGTGTGTGTGTGTGTGTGTGTGTGTGTGTGTGTGTGTGTGCCACTTGATGTGTGAACATCCATGCCTTCATTTGCTGCCTGTTCCTGGCATCACCCTGTCCTTAAAAGCTGATAATGTGTTAATGAAATCACTGGCAGACAGCTCTTGTCAGCCGAATGTTCCACATGAGAAGGGGCCTGTCCTCCACTGTGAGTCTGCAGGGTAAAAAGCAGGTCTGTCAGGGGAGCAAGAGTCTGTCAGGGGAGCGTGTGTCTGGCTCAGCCATTGCTTTTGTGTTGTCATTTTTTTCTGGTCTTTGCTCTTTTATAATGTTACAGGTCCTTTCGCCTTGTCCTTCTCTGAGCGTGCGTGCTAAATTTTTTATGCGGAATGGGCCTGCCCCCTTTCCTTTCTGCATCACAATGATTTATTGCCCAAAAAGACCAGAGAACTAATTAACAGAGTAATTAATTAATATGAATTTGCATATTTGCATTTGCAATTAGTGCAGTCAAGTGATTAGTCTGAAATGGGGAAGTTTGACTCATCAGATGTTGGTGTGTGTGCTGAACCGGAAAGCTGGTCACCAGCTGAGGCATTTTTGGATGGGGACTGTGTGTGTGTGTGTGTGTGTGTTTCTAAACACAACCATCCAAGGGTGCGCGCCTATCATGCGTGACTGAGCCGTCGCTGTCAGCAAACTGCATCTGTATGCTGTGTTCATTATGTTTTTGTTGTGCTTATAAGTGCAGATCAAGCTGACCGTCCCAGTGAACAATACAGCAGCCATTTTTACCAAGATCACTCATGACTAACTGGGGACTGTGTCTGATAGGTGGCTTGCTGCTAACAGGACCACTCAAATCTGTCAACATCAGGTTAAAGAGCCAATTAATCTTAGACAGGAACAGAAAGGTGTTGCGTGTCGTTTATGTGGCGTTAGGCTTTTGTGGTGTCCTTCTGAGAGGGGGAAATGCACTTGGGGGGCATTTAAAGATCTTCTGATTTTAATTATAAATGTGTGTGCATGTGAGAGAGAGAGCTAGTTCAATGGCAGTAGGAGCTTTCACTGATAATGGAATGCATGAGTGTCACGTCTTAATGTGGGAGGAGCCAAAGCTCTGGACAATTACTGCTACAAGAAACAGCTAGATGCCAGAGACGGCCAAACCCATGCTCCAAAATTTATGTGTGATTTTGTGCACAGGTTAACCTCAAGTTTGACTTCAACATCAACATGTTCAGTATGAACCTAAAATTAAAACATAAAAAAAGCTTACACATGAATTTTGCATTGTGACATTATTTGACAATTAAGCAAATTATAATGACAATTAAGAACATTTTTCACAGTTCTCATTAATATATAATACAAAAAAATTCTTATTGCTAAAATATTTATCGAAAATTCTAATATATATAGTTTAAATTTTGTTGTGTGTGTGTGTGTGTGTGTGTGAGTGTATTACTTTTAAGTCCTTAATATATATATAGTTTATGTAAATAGTCTATATAAGTTATAAGCTTTTCCAATAAACGTTTGGGTCATTAAGAGCTTTTTAAAAAAAGATTTAACACTCTTAGTCAGCAAAGATGCATTAATCTGATCAAAAGTGACAATAAAGACATTTATAAGATTACAAAAGTTTTATCATTTCAAATAAATGCTTTTCCTTTGAACTTTCTATTTATCAAAGAATCCTGAAAAAAGTGTCACTGTGTCAATATTAAGCAGCAACATTTTCAACGATTTCAATATTGATAACAATATGAACTTTTTCCTGAGCATCAAATCAGCATATTAGAATGATTTCTGAAGGATCATGTGACACTGAAGACTGGAGTAATGATTCTGAAAATTCAGCTTTGCATCACATATAATTACAATTCAAAATATATTAAAATAAAAAACATTTTTAAATTGTAGTAATATTTCACATTTTTGATCAAATAAATAATTCCTTGTTGTGCATTTATTTGATTTAGCAACCCAAAACATTTTATTATTTAGTATTACAATTATAAAAAAAATTGGTCATACTTTATTTATTTTATGCATTTTACTTATTTATACATTTTATTTAACAAACCATTAACTATGACTTTTGCCTCAATAAACTCCTAATTTGCGGCTTATTAATAGTTAGTAAGTTAGTTGTTAAGTTTAGGTATTGGGTAGGATTAGGGATGTAGAATATGGTCATGCAAAATATGTGCTTTATAATAAACAGCCAATATGTTAATAATATGCATGCTAATAAGCAAGTTAATAGTGAGAATTGGTCCCTATACTAAAGTGTTACCAACAATTAAAAAAATATTTATACTGTTAATTACATTACATGTAATACAGCAAAATACAGTAATGAGAATTAACAAACGAGGATAATGAGAATCCACCATCCAGAATTTGAGGGAAACACATCACAAACAAAAAAAAATAATAATAAAACAAAAGTCTTAAATAGGCGACATTTTCTTCATGCACAGTATAACTTCTTGGAGTGAAATGTGACCTGGACATGTTTTTGTTAGATTCACTTGCATAATACTGAGTGGTGTGAATGTGGATGGCTGTGTGTGATGAAGGTGGGGAGGGATGGTGTGAGTGTGTGCATGTGTGAGTGAGTGTAAACAAAAACCCAGACTTATTTTCATACGTAGAAAAAACATTTTCAGAATCCATGTTGACGGGGCATATTTATTAAATATCAGAGAGTGAATTTATCTAAACTTTATCTAAATTTATGTTTTCATAATAAGGTGAATGTCACAGAAAATACTTTTATGATGACAAACAGTAGGACCAGTCATTTGGCAAACGTCCTTGAAGAGACTGACCAGGCAAACAAGAGCCAACAATCATCCAGTTCTTGCTGTCATTCACCAACACTGACCATTTTTTTACACGTTTACAGAAAATACCTGACATAAATAAGCACCTATTTTGTCTCATTTTAGATTTAGTCCACTTATTGTTGTGTTTGCAGGAAAATCGAATCACAATTTCTTTATTTCTAACAGCAAAGACTAAGAAATATCATTCCCTGACCGTCTCACAGCATTCCTGTTCATCCACAGCATCAGAATCTAATGGTGGATGCTGGTGCTCGGTCCTTTATTGAGGCTGCTTTGAGGTTTTGCAGTGGTACGCAGCTCGAGGCACACGCCAGATGATCAGGGGAGGAATACAGGTCCCCCGGGACCCGGTCACGTGACCAACCCATGCCACGTGACGTCAGCGGCAGATGGCATGGGTACCAGCTCTGGCAGTTGGCATCAGTGTCATTTCTCTTAGCGCGAGACAAGGAGAACAGTGGGGAGGTGAGAAAAAGGCACGAGCTGTTCACCTGCTAAAACACCACACGGAAAAAACAGTTCAAAATAGGAAATATGAAAACTGTCATCTGACACCATCATAATCCAGGTAAGCTGGATCATTCGAGGGTAAGAATCGACATCTGTGCTGCATGACTATGTCTGCCCATTTCACCAGATTTTAAAGACTTATGTTTTGTAAATGCACAAATTTGATGCAATTTCACACATAAAAACAAGTTTACAGATTCATTTCTGTTGCACTGTCAGTTGCAGCTGAGTTTTTGTGTATAAAAGTGCATTGATTTGATTAGAGGATCAATATAATCTGGAATTCTGTCAAATGTGAATTGGTATTTTTATGTTAATGCATCATTGTATACGATCAGAAAAAAGGTACAAAAGCTGTCACCATGGTGGTACCTTCTCAAAAAAGGTTCACCTTTGTACCATGTTTACCCCTAACTAGTGTATATTAGTACTTACCTAAATGGTACATTTTAGTCCTTTTTGAAAGTTTACCACCCTAGTGACAGCTTTTGTACCTTTTTTGAAAGAGTATTTATTGAGCACCATGTATAGGCTGTTTTTAAATCGTTGCTGATTGATTCAGAAGATCTATTATCTTCTCATCATCCCCAGTAAGAGCACAATGCTGACTCTTCCGTTTGAGGATCCTGTCATCATGGACACTCAATTCGGGGCTAACTTTCCACGGGACTGCGTGGGTGAAATGAAGGTCACTAAACAAGAGCCATTTAAAAAGGAGGAGACGCTCTCCCACACGATGGAGGATGAGAATTCAGAGAAGGATGAGGATGAACAGGAGGACGGACAGGACGCGAATGGTCTGCCTCGGAGGAGAGGGCCTCGGAAAAAGAAAATGACCAAAGCTAGGGTGGACCGGGTCAAGATGAGGCGCATGGAGGCCAACACCAGGGAGAGGAACCGAATGCACGGTCTGAACAACGCCCTGGACAGCCTGCGCAAGGTGGTGCCCTGCTACTCCAAAACCCAGAAACTGTCGAAAATCGAAACCCTGCGCATGGCCAAGAACTACATCTGGGCACTTTCCGAGATCCTGAGCACTGGGAAGAGGCCTGACCTCTTGACCTTCGTTCAGACCCTCTGCAAAGGGCTCTCGCAGCCCACCACCAACTTAGTGGCCGGATGCCTGCAGCTGAACGCCAGGAACTTCATCACGGATCAGATCAACAGCGAGGCGTCTTTCTCTGGTAGGTCGCCCTACGAATCCGTGTACACGACCTACCACAGTCCGGGTGTGGTGACGCCCTCTGGACCCTCGGTAGATGCCGTCAAACCCTTCAGGCCATTCAACTACTGCAGCACCTATGAGTCTTTCTATGAGAGTGTCTCGCCGGAATGCGGAAGCCCTCAGTTCGACGGTCCCTTAAGCCCACCTATTAACTTTAACGGGATCTTTTCCCTCAAGCACGAAGAGCCGGTCGAATATGGCAAGAGCTGCCACTACAGCACGCGCTATTGCGCCGTGCCGCCGCGCTCCTCCATCAACCAGAGCGCGAGAGGCTCCTCGGATCTCCATTTCCCATATGACATTCCCCTCCGCGGCCAGTTTTACCCCGTGCAAGAAGGATTAAACACTTTTCATAATTAATGAGAGAAAGTCAAACGTGAGTGAAAAGGACTGAAAATGCAGGACTTGAAATCGCACATGTATTGTTTATAAAGTCCATCTCTAATTTGGGTTTTATGCCATCGGATGTTTTATTATTTATCCTTTTTTAATTAAATGTAAAATGTGCTTACAGTGTTTCTAATTATTGTTAGAACTGATTTTAAACTGTTCGACAAAATGTGTGGTCTAATGGAAAAACAATCCACAAACAACAGTGTTTTACGCTGAGTTTCTCGTTTATTTTCGGTTTAATTTAATGGCTTGTATGATAAATCTGAAAATCTGTCAGTAAGGACTCTTGCTCCAAAAGGCATCTTTTAATTATAAGGTCATTCAAATATTTGCGATGAAAATTCAGTAAAATAGGAGAGCAATAATTGCTAAGGGTGCTATGCAATACACAAGTCTATATAATTCTCGATCTGGCCATTTATTTATCCATTTAATTTGTCTAAACAATGTTCGTACAAAGTTCAAAATATAGGTGTTAAAAAGACTTTATATCTCATAATTTTGTAATACATAAATGCCTTTATTCGTTTATGAAAAGTAACATAAAAAACGAGAGACATGAATTGAAGAACATGAATTGTATTTATTTTCTTTGAATCAAATTTTCATCATTATTTACGAAAGTTTCGTGATGTTTTACACAGGGCACTATTTAAATGTTGGTAAAAACAAATATTGATTCAACCATTGACTATTATTGTTATTATTATTATTATTTACTATAATATATAATAATATGCTAAGACCACCACAAGGCAATTATTAAATCAATTTGTTTATTTAAGATGTATATAGGCTATGGATTACCTTTAACGGGATCTTTTCCCGCAAGCACGAAGAGCCGGTCGAATATGGCAAGAGCTGCCACTACAGCACGCGCTATTGCGCCGTGCCGCCGCGCTCCTCCATCAACCAGAGCGCGAGAGGCTCCTCGGATCTCCATTTCCCATATGACATTCCCCTCCGCGGTCAGTTTTACCCCGTGCAAGAAGGATTAAACACTTTTCATAATTAATGAGAGAAAGTCAAACGTGAGTGAAAAGGACTGAAAATGCAGGACTTGAAATCGCACATGTATTGTTTATAAAGTCCATCTCTAATTTGGGTTTTATGCCATCGGATGTTTTATTATTTATCCTTTTTTAATTAAATGTAAAATGTGCTTACAGTGTTTCTAATTATTGTTAGAACTGATTTTAAACTGTTCGACAAAATGTGTGGTCTAATGGAAAAACAATCCACAAACAACAGTGTTTTACGCTGAGTTTCTCGTTTATTTTCGGTTTAATTTAATGGCTTGTATGATAAATCTGAAAATCTGTCAGTAAGGACTCTTGCTCCAAAAGGCATCTTTTAATTATAAGGTCATTCAAATATTTGCGATGAAAATTCAGTAAAATAGGAGAGCAATAATTGCTAAGGGTGCTATGCAATACACAAGTCTATATAATTCTCGATCTGGCCATTTATTTATCCATTTAATTTGTCTAAACAATGTTCGTACAAAGTTCAAAATATAGGTGTTAAAAAGACTTTATATCTCATAATTTTGTAATACATAAATGCCTTTATTCGTTTATGAAAAGTAACATAAAAAACGAGAGACATGAATTGAAGAACATGAATTGTATTTATTTTCTTTGAATCAAATTTTCATCATTATTTACGAAAGTTTCGTGATGTTTTACACAGGGCACTATTTAAATGTTGGTAAAAACAAATATTGATTCAACCATTGACTATTATTGTTATTATTATTATTATTTACTATAATATATAATAATATGCTAAGACCACCACAAGGCAATTATTAAATCAATTTGTTTATTTAAGATGTATATAGGCTATGGATGTAATTATGAAAAACGAAATAATAATGGTATATTAATAATTTGTTTGTTTCATTTATTTCAATTTGTGTAGGCTAATTTAACTTTATAAATGTGGACAATCGAGTTTTAAGCAACCTCTTGATTTCCAAATATTTCAAATAAATCACATTTGTCTATGCGCATCATTTTCAGAAGTGTGATAAATGAATATCACAACACGATGTAATTATGCAACAGATTGTTTGACAATTTTTTTTTCTCAAATGTAAAATAGTCGATATATTGGTGACATTGCGTACAATCTCGGATCAATCACTGTAAGCAAATGCATTTGAAGCATGTAAAATCTCTAATGGAAAGGTCTGTGTGCTGTCTGAACTCATGTCACGGGAAAACCTGCCTTAATATATTTGTCACGCATCATTTATGCAATGTCATGGACGTCTGCAGTGGTGGTTTCGTGCATTCTGATTTTTCTCACCAAATGAGATTTTGTGTGTGTGCGTGTGTGTGTGTGTGCGTGTGTGCAAAAATGACTGAATGCACTGAAACTGGTCTTTGTACAATGTCGAGCTGTTTTGTACAGTAAAATAAAGTTTGATTGAATACATTTCTATTTTGAAAACACTGTTCTGAATACATGGAAACGTCTAAAATCAAATTCAAATAATAAATAAAAGATAATAGATATAGGCCTATCTTTAAAAAATAGGTATCTAAACCTCATTATGTGCCGCAAGAAAAAAAGAACGAAAGAAAAGACGAAAACAACATTTTATGCAATGTCGCATTTCTATCATTTCAAAACGTATAAGGAACAAACAAATATACGAAGATAATATATAAAGGTATTAGAGTATTTAGATCTAAATTTAAAGTCTAGAAAATAGGCCTATCTGCCACAATCCATATTACATAGGTCAGGAAATGCCTGTGGTACAGAAAAGCATAGAGATCGTCTCTGTTTATCAACAGAGGACAAAGGAATTTATGACTAATTTATGAAATAGCCAAAATCACCAAATCCATCTCGTGCATTAGTTTATAGGCCTATGCGACGCGTTGGTCAAGGTTAATTGTAAAATGAGACGTTCTTGAGATGTTATTCAGGACTGGGTTTAGGGGAGTAAAGGCTGTCTGGCTTTGAGTCTCTCCTGTCTCCGAGTTCAGCAGCGAGCTGGACGCGGGCCAAACAGCGACAGACTGCGGATCAGGAGCCCGAAAGCAGCTATTCCCCCGCGAATGTGCATTGTCATCCCCGAGAAACCAGAGTGACAGGATTCATAATACGTAGGATACAATATATATAATATAAAATATATATAGGCTAGCCGATATATTCAGCGCGCGGTCTTTTAGTTTTGAGTTTTAGTTCTTTTGGTTATGAGTTCGATTCCCGACCAATAGGCCTAGCTTGCATGAAATGACAATATGTAGGTAACCTTGAATGCAGTGGTTTGTTTAGGATAAAATGCTCAGGAAAATAGTCCAAAATCTTTCTAACAATAATTAAAGTTAACTTCACAATCACTAACAGTTTTGACACAACAGATTAATAGAAAGATCTCACACGACTTCTTTTTTTTTCTGGTATAGCAGTAATTGATTCCTTTTCACGCTTTCAAAGAAAAAAATAAACCAGTAATCTACGTTAATATCCTATTAATCATCACGTTGTCCTAAAACACCTAATGCTTTTGACAGGTGCAAAAATCCAACCTGCACAATCACTGATCGTGTGCGATGAGACTCTTGATTTGCTGTGGGGATGTTGAGGTGTCAGAAAAACCCCACAGTGGCGATGTTTCACACAACTCAGAGAGAGGCAGAACATATGCTACCCCAGAGACAAAGCTGCCAGGAACGAACAGCTGAAAAACGAGCAGCAACACTTCTCTATGTGCTTCTATGTGAGACCGGTGGAAAGTTCTCACCACACGCTTTCTTTCGACTTTTTAGGGCGTTATTTTCTTTTAGTTAAAAATGTAATGTGTGTTTACTGACAAGAATGCATGTAGGCTATGCATGTGTGTTTACTGAGAAAATGCATATAGGCTGTGTCTTATTTTAGCCAGTCCTTGTATCCAGTTATTTAAATTCGTTTAAATATTTTATTCCTAAACAAGTAGAACTGTACCAATATATAAAAAAGAGTTTGAAATACAGTTTGAAGTGCGTTTTAAACAGCAGAATTTTAGTAGAATTCAAAACGATTATGAAGCACAAACCAATTTGAGAAACAGCAAAACACGTGTTTTGGCCAACATATAGGCCAATATTAATAATTATATAAAGTTACAACAAATGTGACAGTTTACTCTATTGTACCAACATGAACTAGGCCTACTTGCCAACATGCCTACTTATATATTTATATGAAAACCGTCGAAAAAAGACGGTAACTAGATTAAATGCAAATGTGAATTAGTGACAAGGACCATAATATAAAATATATTTTTCAAATAATATCACTCAACTTTATCAACTCGCACACATTACAGCACAGCGACCTTAGTTATTTTTCAAATAATATCACTCAACTTTATCAACTCGCACACATTACAGCACACTAGCGACCTTAGACAAGGTAGAGCCATCTTTCATTTTTGACAGGAATGAAAACGAGGCTGTGGAAGTTAGGCCTACACTTTTATGTTTAACAACATTCAGCTGACAAAACGTCTTTCTGAGAAAAAAAAAATCATTAGATAAAACTCTATAAAATGTTTTTGAAAATTGTGAGTTGTGAAAATTACGTGATCTAGGACTTTATAGTGCGTGCCATTGTAAAAGCTGTAAGTCTGTCCTCACAACCTCGTTTTCATCCGCGCCAAATTCAATATGGCGTCTAACGTGACTAAGTCCTAAACATCTTCTAAGCAGCAGAGGCGCACCTTTGTTCAAAACTTTGGCTGCCATTTGTTTTTAATGCTCTAGGTGAGTATGAATTTCATACATCTCATTTGAATGGTAAATGAAATTCCTTGTGTTGATTGTGTGGAAGAGCATGGTACAGATGTATGTGGGTGGGTGCATGTGAGTGTACATACGAGTTTGTGGGTGTATATTTGTTTGTGTGTGGATGGTTGGAGGTGAATTACTACATACTTCACGTTCACGATCACTCATAGCTCTTGTCCACGTGTGATGCTCCATTCTGTGTTCTGATGTCAACCCTTCTGTTTCAAATCCTATCATTAGAAGATGAGTCACACCAAACATGATTACTAAATAGGCTACAATCTGTCCAGAGTGCTGTACATGGTCGTGAATGACCCATCCGATTATGATGGTATGCGAACCGAATGGGCATCTAAACGATATGGTATCGGTAAACAATACCTAGATGTTGCAATTCTCAAGTTTGTATCCCATAAGGCCATGGGAATTTATGCACCATAGGATTTGTTTTTATAAGTGGCTAATTTTTAAGTGTAAGTGCTATAGGGACCAAGAAGTGGTTTCTTGTGGTTACATTACTTGTTAAACAACACCCGAATAAATTGTTTTCATGGTTATTGGTAGAACATCATATGGCAAAGAACATATGGGTCAGAGGTCAATGCCAACATGGCAGATGTA